GTAATGCACATCTTAAATTCTAAGAGAATTCGTAGACTGATTGATAATAGAATTCTTATAGTAATTGTTAGAATAATTAATGTAGAAATGCAACTATTAAATTCTAAGACATTTATGAAGGGAGCACAGGTACACATATCTGCGGTTGCAATCAAAGCTTAATGACATTCTAAACTTAGTTTCGACGGTATAAATGTCTCCGACGATTTATCGGCATCAACTTTGATTCGAGTTAGTCCACGCGACCGACTCTACTATACATATAGTAGCACATGATACGAGGGGTTGATAATTTCTGCCTATACATACGTACATATATCAGTGACCTTAATTTGCACAGATCCATCAGTATTAATTCTCGAAATAAGTCTTATATACACTTAATGCAATTTAAAGGAAATTGACTTAATGTACATTTATTATAAGTCATTTATATAAATATTTTTCTGCTATTATTACACAAAATTCTTATCGTCTACTGGCTATTTAAAATATTTGTTCGTCTGTAGGATTGACGAATACATTTGCATTTTTATTTCGACGATGAACATTAAAATCTGCAAATATTATATGGAAGTAGTTATTGCCACGGTGATGAAATACTTATCATTCCTTATCTCTCGTTTGAGTCGATAAGTGTTCATGTCCCAGACGCGTCAGGGTCTCGGCCCAGAAAATAAAAATTGCCGGAGTCCCTGAACGTGTCCCGATCCGCGAAATTACAGGCAATAATCCCCCGGGCTGGTCGATCTTGACTCGTGTCAAGGCGCGACCCTGGCATCATGCAAATAAAGGCACGCGCCCGGGTTACCGCTCTCTCCTTCTTTCATTTATACTACTTCAAACAAAAGTTGTAGCTCCGGTTGCCAGATACAATAAAGGTCCTATGCAATAATCTTCTAGTGCGAATAATTTAGGAATAAAAATTATAGGCATTCTTGAAATTATCTTCTCGCCTCGATGGAAGCAGATAGCAATTACGGTTTACCCAGATCTCATGAACTCGATTCGAACACTGTTTTTAAGCTATCCCAAGGTTAGCCATTAGGTCAAAGATTGTGAAATAAAAATACTAAAATTCATTTTTATTCATTTATTAATCGGAATTTATTAATCAGCATACAATTTAATACAGCGAAATTCTAATCTTCGTAGTTCTTCGGTTGGTTCCAAAGTCTCGGAAACGTGATACCAAACGAAAAACTCAGTCTTTATTCCACTTGACGAACCCCGTTTCTCTATTCAACAGGTACAGCATGTTCGACGCTCTGGACTTGGAATACGCGCTTCTAAGGGCAGCAGCCCGCGGCTCCGTGGGCCCATACTCGTTGTCAGAGTCTCTCCACAAGCTGACGTTTACTCAGAGCCTTGCGTTCCCTGCGTTAGCCCGCGGTCTGGCTTCGAAGCAGAGCGTACCTGCCAGGAGGCCGCAGCAGCACACTGAAAGTGGATTGAACGCGTTCGCCAAAGTGGTCACTGCGTTGGTATTGGTCCTGGTGAGCGTTCTGGTGTTCGGTGTCGTGTACAAGTTTGTGAGGACGTGAGGATGGCTGCTGGTGCCCGACAGGCCGCCGGGCTCGCAAGAGTTCGGCCCGGGTACCAGCGACTCTTTCGATCAGTGACTCGATCTCGTAGTTTAAACGATATTCTGGTACAGGATTTTATTAAAGGGAATTGATTGGATAAGAAGATGCAAGCAAAGTATTATTAAGCATATGTACAAATGAAGTTTTGGGAATGAATACATTTCGAAATGACAAGAAGAGGAATGAAACGTGTTAGTGACGTGCTTCGTTCTGACGAGGTTTGAACTGTCGATTAACAAACTGGGCCTAGACTGAATAATTACAGATCGTGAACATTCGCTATGTACAATTGAATGGAGTTTTGATTCGACAAATAAAAATTCATTCTTCCATGTTTCCATAAACATTTATAAAAGCGCACTCGCAGTTGTATTGGTTATTGCACATTTTTAAAAAGCGTTGCTAAAATTCTGTGCTGTTTAAGGGAGATAGTGCGTACGTGAAACAGCTTGGATCTGTGAATTCTGCGAATGCAAATAATGTTTGAACGGCAAAGCGGCGACGTGAGCTTATCTCTGAAAAGAATAAGCAAATAACTGGAAACTGGATTGCGCCGTGACGCGCTGTATTCAACGCGTGAAACTCGTGACACGAATCCGGGCGTTTTACCAAAAAAAAAAACAGCATAGAATTTTGACACACCGTTGTGAATTTAAAGCACGGCGATCGATATTGAAAAATCGTCGCTGCAACGTTTTTATGCGAACAACGTGTAAAAAGCGAATTTGAATAAAATTTTTCTTTCTGTCTTTAAATAATAAGAATAACCAGCTTGAAGAATTTTATAAATAATGTTTGTCAAATATAATGTAATTAATCATTGTCATATAATTTGGTATAGGCCTCGCGCGCATGAAAATGTGTCAGGCATATTTATCAATTCAAGTGTAATCCGCGAATCTTTTCAAACGCTTTTACACGATTCTATCCTGATGACAATCGCTATGATATTTAGAATTTTAAGGGAATCGTGATTTCCAAGTAATTCGCGAAATTGCTGAGAGCTTTCATCAGTTTTCTGATAAATCTCGCGTTCGGACGAAGTCTGAAACGTTGTCGCCATTTTTACACTTAATTCATTTTAATGAAACTTTATATGATTGAAAGTTCGGATGTACGACATTCCATATTTTTCATTGCATCATTAAAACTATTCCTTTACTCACTGAGGTTTTAACAAAAAAGAGTAACATGGTTTTTAATAAATTATTAATTGACACGTTGACGTAACATGATTCAGAATTGAATTTCTATAAGTTTCTATTATTTAAATCAGATAATCGTGAAACATAATGTATCTGTATACACGTACATTCTATATATACACACATTGTAAATATATGTAAAATTATTAACAAAGGAAGTCTCCAATTCTTCGAGGTTGCATTGTGTGTTAACAAATTTCTAAGATAAACTATTTAAAAAGATTATAGTAATCTATATATTGCAGGGTGAGAAATAATTCCGCACTACATTTTCATTTTTAAAAAACTTACCTTCAAACATAGCCCCAGATACGAAGAAAACATAAAATTCCCATACTGAAAACTATTCAAGCGTCCATATCTTTACAGTAGATAAACATGAAAGAATGAAATTCCCACAACTAGAAGTTGTTTCATTCACTCAATAAAACACAAAGATATCCTCATGTAAAGACAATCGTAACGTTCGTTCCACTTACGCGAAATTTGTATACGCAACTTCGATTACGAATCCCACAATTTTAATTAATTATAACTTTGTAATAAATACGAATATCAAAACGAGGATTCACTTGTTAGAAACGAGGAAGTTTCCTCTTTAAAATGCAGTTTGGCTCGTCTCGATTCGACGCCCGATTCCAGAGATATGATCGTGTAAAGAGGACTGTTCGGTTTCGGCGCTGATGTGGCTGTCCTTTTCGCAAGTGTCAGAGCTCTCACTCGCACGTTGACCCAGTTACTGACCTGCTCTAGCCCCCACGTGTCTAGACACCTGCTACGCAACTCTAGGAAGTAACCCTCTGAGTTTAGTAGAGCGGGAATCCCCGGGGAATTCCAAGCCCCGTGCTTAAACGGGAAAAGTGTTAATCTTTATTATCTCGCGAACGGATTCAGATATCGGGATGAACCAAAAACGATTCTCGACTTCCTTTATCGACTGAACAGTAAAGTAAAATACTATTTTAAATAGTAAATAATCGTATTTATTTGAAAGTATGGATATAACTTTAAAAAGATATTTTTTAATCGATACAATACGTTTTGAAAATAGTATTTTATATAAAGAATATTAGCCAAGATTGTGTATATTTATGTTTCAATGTTACGTCGAGGATAATAAACAGACTCTGTCTTAAAATTGTAAGATGTTTGCTTTTCGCATGAGAATCATAATTTATGTAGTAGATAGAACGTAATTGTAAACTGTAAATGTTTCTGTTCTGAGATGGACTCCCTGCGGAAGAGGATTTATATTACATATCCTTCGTGATTGCTTCGTATTGTATAAAAATTGGAATTTGTTCAAAACAATTCCGAATAAAGCTTTTTCCAATGAATCATCAAACAATTTTAATACCTGTACAAAAAACGCAATTCAATTTCGTTTTATTTATGTAATAAACAATTTATTTTGTTTGTTATTAATATTATAAGAAACTATGGATTATTAAACTAACCATTTATCATATCGAGATGCAATTTATCTAATTATTTAAACGGCAAGTGAAACTTCTCATAGTACGTCTGATCATATACATGCTTATTCTACTTACCGCTTCTCGGGCGATTTAACATTGCATTCAAAGTTTCTCGCATCGATGTATTCCATTATTATCTTCAGTTTCGATGGTAGAACAGTAAAAGATACAAATTTTTACATATCGGCGAAGTAGCCGTTTATTTATTTAATTTACAGTCGCATGAATTTTCCATTCGACTCGCACGAGTCCCCGGCTATTGTAACCAGTCCGAAGAAGTTATACTTTTGAAAGTTTACAACAAGTGTTCCCTCACTTCCGTAAAGTTGTCTCACATCTAAGGTGCTAAGATATCTACAGTGATAGAATTCATCTCTCTCCTTACACGACTATACACGCGCTAGGGTCGCTCTCGCCAATATTAATTTTCATCGAATATCCCTCTCATATTTTCATGTACATTCTACCTTAGTTCCTCTGTCACTGTGTTTTTTTTTTCTTTTTTTATCCGACCCGTCTCCTTACATGCAGTATATATGTACACGTGATTCCCTTTTTATTGCTACTTTACAAGATCGACTCTGATTTCTGTGTCTCCCTATCTCCTTCGTCCCTTGTTTACGTGTATGCCTACGAGTTTGTGGACTGTATATCAAGCGCGAATGTCAACCGGAAGTACGCGATTAGTGGATAAAGAATCGAGAGACTGAACGATCAATCTTTTTAAGCTCCCCCCCCGGTTTGTGCGATTTGAAAAACTCCGCCGAAAGAAGGTCCGTTTTAAAAAAGACTTTGGATACTTTCACGTGGTTTTAGCCTTGATGACGATGAAATTTAAAGTATCTAGAAAATGTGTGTCTGCGCTGAGGGTATCATTAAAAAATATCAGTGTTTCCTTCGGGGGAGTGTTTCCGTTTCCATCTTCCAGTCTGACCTCGCTTAGGCCGTTCTTTCTAGTTTCCCCTTGTCAACTTCTCTCTCCCATCGTCCCTTCGCCTCGCTTTTAATCCTTTCGTACTACGTCAACGTATAAAAAGTATCAGTTAAAAATTACTTGAGTAAAGGGGGAAACGAAAATTCAGAGATCAGTTCTTTCGGTTTTAAAATCACAGCAATTTCTCTTTTCATTTTCTCTCTACGTTTAGAATATTATAAATACCTGCGTAAACTATAGTTCTTTTTTTAAGATCGACGAAAGGATTAAATCCCAGCCTCGTTATTTATGGTTGTTTTGTTTTTATTTTTCGTGTGCGTTGTACGTACTCGAGTCATTTGTTTAGCCTTACCGTCTACGAACTCGGTGACTCAAACTGTAGAAAAATAAACGATTATGTCGCGATCTTCCCTCGGTATTTGAATAGTGTTCGTTTCACCGTTGGTATCTAGAATTGCATTCATGATTAAACGAATCCTTGAGCACAAAATAAGACGTGAACCGCGGCGGAAATAAATAACTAAACGTCGAAGGAGTCTACTCAAATCTGTTATGCCTTATTTTGATCTCAGAAGTCGTTTAACGACGCCGGGGACTTTGATGACGCTTGTTCACGTTCAAGAGTGAACCTAAGCTCCTGACAGAGACACGCACCTCGATCATCGTTTTAAAACTGCCCGCAGAAAAATATAGTCGAAGCTATTGAGAATTTTGTCGTCGGAATGGGACGAATGCTAAGTATACCTCGTAGCCTATAGTTTAAACATGAACATTTTGCACTTAAACCGTAATAGACAGCAAATTTCTGACTTCTCTTCGTTTTTTTTTTTTTTTGTATTTTTTTTTCTTCTTTTTTTTAAATCGTTAAACACATGCAAGTACTCTGATCATCGACGACAATTTAAAGATGAATTTAACGTTTCATTGCGAGAATCCTATTCCCTTAAATCCCTCGCAGTACGTACCTAGTTAAAATTTCCAAAGTTTCAACACGCGTTCGATGTTATTCAAATTACAACATCGTTTTATAGGGTCAAAGCTTCGTTTCTCCTCTCTACATGATTTTACAATATACAATTCCTTTACTTTCAATTCTCAATATTTGGAATGTTTGTTCCATCTACGATCTCCTCAATTCACTGTACAACAGATATTTGATTAATTACAATTAATTACACTCGATCCCCTCCGAGATTTAATCATCGTAACAATCACAATTCAATTAACCAATCAATGGATAGCATTCCACAATTCAATTAACCAATCAATGGATAGCATTCCACTTACGATCTGTCAAATAATATTGTCGAAATTAATTTATTGTAATTATTATAATGATTAAATTGCTCGAAGTTAAATTGGTCGCTACCTCAACGATTCTTCTTTGATGAGCACTTAGCCACCGCTTTCAATTATACTACATATTCTTTCTTTTAACAGTGTTGGGCGATATTTTATCATTTTAATCTGCTGGTAATAAAATTTATTATCGAATAAAACTAAATGCCCAACGCTGTTTAACGAGGAATTTGTCTAACGCGACTCAGATCGATAGTAGACGAAATGTGACGGTCGACAATTCCCGAATAAGACGACGGATAGAACGAATATGGGATAAAAGAACGGTTGACGAACCACGTTAGAAAAAAGATCTACCAGCTAATTGACGCTCGCAGCACGTTAATTACATTTATAATCGGATAGAACGAGTCTAGAAAAATAGAATGTCGACGATTGCCGAGAACCGTGTCAGTATTATCTACCACAACGATCAATAGACACTTTCATTAATGTTTATCGACTCTAGATCGATCCATATATGTACTTTGACTAGACACCGTTTTTTTTTTTCTTTTTTACTCTCTTCTATCCTAGATATGCGCCGGATATACGCTGGACTCGCTCCTTTAATTTTGACAAAGTTCATTTGGAAAGTTCTTCAATTCTCATCTACTACTTCCCTAATTCGTGTTTCTGTTTAAACAGATCCGCGGTTCTACGTAAAATAGGACTCTTCCCTAGCGCTAGCTAAAACAGTTCACGTTCAGATCTCACAACTTATGTACAACTTGAATTTGAAACGTTCTCGGTCTATACCTATTTTTAATGCATTCAATTTGTACCCTGTGTTCTTCGTCTTCGATAACCGATACCGCTGGGTAACACGATTATCAAAGTAACAATTTTTCGTTAGTGGCTGAGGGACTGACCAGGTCTGGGCGTCTCCTAAATAAAAATAAAAAAAAAAAGGAACTTACAAATTGACAAGCGAACGTTTTCCGAAAAGGAAATTCTTAAAGGAATCGACGATGGATTAAGATAAAGCCCAGCTCCGTTTCTCTTGAAAATTCTCGATCTTCCATAAACCTTTCAATCGTTTTCTTCTTTCTTCTCGAGGGCTTTCACTCGTCTCGACCTCTTCGAGGGTTCATCGACAGAGAGAAACCTTGTTGCCCTCTGGTCAACGAGGAAAATATCATTTTTAGAGCCTTTTCGAGTATTATCCTATTGATAGATGATCGGATGGGTGGGCTCGACGGGCAGGTCGCTGTCGAGGTTTAACGACACGCCGTCCTTCGACACCAGGTAGTGGGTAAGTAACTGACCTTTCCCCTTCACAAATACCAAACCGCGTTGCTCAAACCCGAAGCCGAACGGCTCCAAAATCCTTCGCGTCTCGTCCGTCACCTGCAATTCCAAATTCTAACAATGTATATTCAATCGAAATTGTAAATAAAAATAAAATACGAAATTCCAAGCAAATGTAGAATAATCAATAATATATAAAATAACAGTAAATGTGTATTTTATATAAAAAAAAAAAATGGAAATTGACCTGAATGCAGCCAACTTTGCCGGTGCTCTCCATCCTGGACGCGACGTTCACAGTGTTCCCCCAAATGTCGTAATGAGGCTTCCTAGCACCGATCACACCAGCTGTGACCGGCCCTTGATTGATGCCCATCTTCAGGACGAAGTGATTGAAACTCTGCTCGTTGATACTTGACAATGCTTTTTTCAACTCCAACGCGAAATCGACGAGAATACACAAGTGACACCACCGGGGCGATTCCTCAGAGTCCAAAGTCTCCGTAATACCAGACGCTGCCATATACGTCGAGCCTATCGTCTTGATTTTTATGATGTCTTTGAACTTGTGCTGATCAAGGATCTGAAGAAATTAATCGATCAGATCATTTTATAAATTATACAAATACTCCAACAGATTATTTCATAAATATTTTTAAATAAAATGAATATGAGATATAAAAACATATTTAACACTAGATTGCCCAAGGAAGTCATTTTGACTGGTTTTGGGCAAATGTACA